TGTTGACCATGTTTCGATACCAAAGCGTTCGCAACAATGTCGGACGCGCTCATTCCATGAATGTAAAATTTAGTGCCAGAGCAAACTCCAGTCAACTCCACATGGTGGCCCATGCTGTGTGTGCAGCGCGCGACGTCCAGAAGCAAAGCATGTTACAGGCGATACTATTGCTTGGAAATACTCCAAACGATGAGCCAACGAGACGGTTTTGTCGCAGATGCCCTTTTAAGTTTCCAAAATGCCTTGGAAGCATTTTGCAAATGGAAATCCTAGTCTGCGTTCAGTACTTCCAACGTGGCCGTAAGCAAAACACAAGCATTTTTTTTTCTTCTCCATTTGCGCACTGCGTGTTGTAGAACACTGCAAACTATCCTGGGCTCAACACGCAGCCTTGTCGAACACCCGCTTCAATATTGAAATTTTTGTTGCAGAAAAAAAGGAAAATTCTGCTGTGCCCAGACTGCCCAAGCACTCCACCCTGTTGATCAGAACGCAAGTGTGCTGAAACTCCCGGGTCAGCAAGCGCTTCCCATAACATGTCCCAGTCAGCCCGCGTTTTGTCCACCACATACCGCGCCGTGAGACGGTGCTCCTCAATGTGGCGATGCTTCCGAAAACCATGTTGTTTTTCAGGCGGTGTGCATTGTCCAACGTATCCTCGATCCTTGCTAAGACCATATTCATCTGCTTGCTTCAACTCTTCAAATGTGAGCGTGACAAAACAGCTAAGCTCCGAGTAGCCAAGCGAAATGGCAACATACAAATTCGGCAAGAAAAAGCATGAAATGTCATGTTGTCCATGTTGCGTTGACATGCAGCTGAAACGCATATTCCAACATCTTTGCTGTTGGCCCCACGGCTGAGAAAAAACAAATTTGGCGCCATTGCATGTGTTGAGCGACTCCTCCCGCTTGGAACACCATCGCGAACTTCGGCACTCAACGTGCCTTCCTCTGTCGGCCACTCTGCGACAGGAGGTTCGGTCCTTGAACAACTGTTTACGGTCAGTATGTACATAGGAAAACAGAGCCTGGTGCATTGACCGGCAAAATCCACTAGACATACGGTTTGACACATAAGCGACAAGGCCTCAGAGATAAGAATCAGGCCTATATTGACTGTAGAAGCCTGCCCAACACGAAACGCGTGGATGGCCGCTCTGCTGCCGGTGGCCAGGGAAACCCTGATGCAGGTCGTGAAGCCATCCCACGCTACCGCTATCCACAACCTCACCTGCAATCCATGCGTCTGGAAGTTGCTCTGGTCAGCCAGGGCTCTGCCGAACACAAGCGCGACCATCACCATGGCAATCAAAGAAGGGGTCGCCAGAAGCCGTGCAAACAAGGCTGCAAGGATGCGTTTGTGGATGCTCCTCCGCCTCCGCCCTTACCGAGCCCCGCAAGCGTTGTGCAGCGCAGCGCGAACGGCCTGCATGCGGTAGCGGTGCCAAGTTTCAGCGGCGGCGCAGCAAGCCGTGACCAGCACTGCTCTGGGACAGGCGCAGGCCTGCCCCTTTTCAGCCACGCCAGCCGCCCGGCCCAGATTTGGACCGCGTCCTGGGACTGGCGGAGCCGTTGGGGCACAGTCGCTTGCCGACCCGCTGATGGCAGTCGGCAGCCACGGCGCTTGAGCTGGCAGTGGAGGTTTGGTAGACTGCTGTACCCGTTCGTCAGGCGGTTTTACGGCCAACTGTCGCGCTGCTGTTGGTGGGATGCTGCTGGCGGCCCCGTAGGGCGAAGCTGCAACAGCTGCCTTTGCTCCCGGACGTACAGTGCAGTCGGCTCTTTCTCTCCTTTTGCGCGGCGCCTCGGGCGAACCATGCGCTCCGCACGTTGCCCCCGTCCGACTCGCGAGGGTACGCGCGTTGGCACACATGTCCCCGGAAGACCGAAAAATGAAAGTTTGGATTCCTGCGAGGAGTGACGGTGGACATCGTACTAGCTCAAATAAAATTTGTCATGTTTCCTGTTTATAGCTGCACGCCCAGAAGGCCCAGGTCCCGGTGCCAACTGCGGTCTACGGTGGCGGGTCACGCTTTACGCAGGGGGGCAGTGACACGGCTGGGTTGAGGAGCCTCCTGCCAGGTGCTCCTGCAGCATTAGGGGCGGGTCAGCAGCACCAAGCTCCGATCAGAGGGTGAGCTCCAAGAAAATCTCAGCGAGTGAATGCTACGCCCGTGACGGGGCGACAGTCATTTGCGCCTCGCTGCATTGTGGACGGCCCAATCCTTGCGGGCGTCCATTTCGGCTGACGAGGGTGGCGTCAACGTGCCCCGTGCCAAAACGGCACAGTAGGGCGTTGCAGAAATGTTGCAGACAACCTCGATGCACCGCGCATTGTGCACCGGCAACTAAAGGTTGATGGCTGCCGGCGCGACATTGCGCCCGACACACGCCGTGGTTTCGCGGGCGATGGCATGCTCGAAAGGAAGCGCTACGACGCGGAAGTGGTAGTCGGATATGCGGGGCGAATGCGGTCCAGCTTGCACGGGACGCAGGGGACAGGTCAGCAATGTGCGTCTCGAGCGCGCTCATCGCAGACATGGAGGTTTTGCGCTGCCAGCCGCGGAGGAGATCGGCAGGCTCGTCATGTTGGGTGTAGGGTCCCAGCAGAAGTGGACATGGGCTTATGCCGTGATGGCACTGCATAGCCTTGTGCTGCTAAGTGGGCCGAAGACTGTGCTGCTGACGCGGCACCCAAGTTATGCTGCTCGCGCTGGTTGGGGAGGCAGCGATGTGTCCACCACAAGAGTGCTTTGAGAGGCAACCAACGGCGACATCATCCTGCGGTCGTGGCTCAGGGAACAGGAGAGGTAGCTGGCACGTGGGGCAGCACAATACTGCAGTAACAGATGCCGCCCGTAAATCTTGGGCCGCGTTGCAGGAGGCGAGGGTGTTCCAATCTGGCGTTCAGGCGACCTGATTGTGCCCACATGCAACCTTTTAGACATTGGGAACACCAGATTTTTATCAGATCAGGAAATTATCTTGAAGTGAAGAGGGAACCTGCGTGTTGGTGTGAACTACGAGAAGAACGATAGGATTGAGACCCAATCCAGACCCGCTCGGGTAACGCGCCACAAATTGTCGGAATTGCTCAGCCGTGTGTGCAGCCGCGAGAGGCGCACATTCTGCTTCAAATGTGGATATGCTGGCAACTTGCGGCCGCACTCACCGTGGCAGCCAGTGCAACGCTAGCACGTTGGCGTACGGTCGTTGCAGTCATGACCCCCGCTGTGCCATGCCAGGGTCTCCTTCGTTGAGGGGCGGACTGCCCGACATTGCCCAACATCGTAGTCGGAAGTCTGATGCGCCATGTCGTTTGGGTGCATCAGCTGCAGATACCTTTTCACATGCATTGACGATGTGCCCAGTGCATAACTTGTCTCGCAAACGCTGCAAGGACTCGCCGTTGCACACCTTGTTCTGCACAAACCCGACTGTCAACACAGCTGGAGACATTTTGCGAGGCATTGCATTTGTTGACGCTGTATGCCACGCAGCTGACACATGTGAGATGTGACCTGAGCCATACTGCCATAGTACAAAATCATATCAGTCATGTACTTGTTCACACATTCATTTGCTTTGTTCTCTGCATGTCTGTGATCCTTTGCGCGAGTGCTCGATATTTTCGGCAATCCGATTCTTACATGTTTCACGTTCCGACCACGACGGTTGGTCAGCTTGTCGCGTGCATGCCGCACATCTGCAACAACTCGTAGTATGTTTGGGTGAAATATGGTGTAATGCCTAGTGTCACTCAGCTCCCGGAACGAACATGAACACACAGCCTCAAACCACGGAGCAACCGCTCCCCAAGCAGAAGCTGCATCGGTATGTTGTGGTCCAGCCGCAGGCAGCTACATTTCAGCAGTACACAACCGAGCTCGTTTCTTCAAAGTTGCACGCAAATGGCATAGCAGGAAACAGACTGTGTCCAAAGCTTTCACCGAATTTGAGCCCAGTACACCTCGCAGGGCCGGCTGGGGCTACAGGGTCCAACTGCCTGTGGACCAGGACCGGAAGTCCCACCCAGGTTGCTTGCGAGTGGAGCGGTCGGCGAGTTTGAACACGTGGGCACAATGAAAGTCTCAAGGATTGGGTTTCGAGCCGCACCATGGTGGCGTTGCGACGGTGTCGAACTGTTGGCGGGGTGCAGGACATGCGACGCATGACGAACGCAGGACAAAAACCACTTCACATCTCGACACACAGAGCGAGAAGCTGACTGTCTACCTGCCCTTCCGCCTGCCTGTAATGTGTCTGCTGCCATGCATCTCATGCTGCCCGTACAGCGACCCGCCCTAAACCCCGTCCGATACCCATCCTGCCGCCTGCCCGCCAACGGAACTCAGGAGAGGCCCCTCGCTTTTTACGCTTGGCTCACTTTTGAGGCGATACTGAGCTGGCTGAACCTCCAAGACCCTGCCCCGATGTGAGGCTGCGAGTAGTGGCTGTGCATGAGTCTCGGGTTCAGTCAGCTGTGGCTTGAAGCCATTCTTTGATGGTGCAAACAGGGTTGCCGTCCAGACAGACGCTAGATGAAAGAGCAGCTGGAACAGACGTGCAATCCTATGCTCATTGCCGGGCAGAGGTTAATCGTAGGTCTCGCAGGTTCCAGAGCTCGTCCGGGCATGGCTTGAAGCCATTCTTGGATGGTGCAAACATGTGAAACTCTATGGGAACACACTCCCTCCTAACGGAGTCTGGGGTGGCGTCGTTTGAAATGCCGAGTCTACCCCCCGAACGAAGGCTGGTTTTCGGCTAGTTTCTTGGGCTCGGCATTTCGTTTGCCTGTTGCCAGCAGGCCGTGCCGTCTGTACACATGCAAGGCATTGCTCATGTAGCTGAGCGTGCCACACTTTCGGGAGAGCTGAGAAAATTCGAGAGAGTTGAGCTGCAAGTTGAGAGGCTCTGGATGCATGATTGCTGTGAATGCGCATGTGAAGTGAGAGGATGCTTGTTCTGCGTTGATGGTCGCTCCTTGAACTAGAGGTCCTAATACTTCAGGGCCAAGAAGGCCGCAACTCCTGCGCGGATCCACACCTCAAAACACGAAGAGCAGGGAGCCAAAAAAACACACCACAGCTGAGATCGAGACATCTGGATTGTCCACAGTGGGCAGGATCATGTCCCGCACAAAATTTGTACTGTGGCCAGTGGTGGACAACGTACCCTTTCTGCTTAGCACCTGTCGGGGCACAAGTGGCGATCTCGCTTTCGACAGAGTTCACGCAGCGGCACTCATGCAAAAAAAGCCATCAGAGTGCCGTGGCCTTGTAGACGGGGCAGGGATACACTCCAGGCTTGCCCTTGAAGTCCAAGGTGGGGATAAAATGAACGACCGGGACCTGCAGGGAGGGATCGCGTGCTGTCAAGTCTCCGTAGCACGCAAGATCCCTTTATTGGATGCCCCAGGCCTGGGTGAAAAGCACCTTGGGCATCGACGGAGCCAGGGCATGGAGGCTGTCATCCCAGCGGCAGCCCTCTAAAAAGAGTCCATACCTGGCGCGGCGGCGCGGCTAAGGTGCTTCCTCCCGACTACACGCGGAAACCGCATCAAGGCATGGCGAGGCCACATGTAAGATCCAGCCTGGGCCAGAGATTTCAAAATGTGAGTGAAGGGAAGCAGAATAGCAAAAGAAATATTTGAAGTCCACAAGTGCGCCTCTGGATGCTCCGTTAAATCACTTCCGTCGAGGCGGACATCATCCCGAACCTGTGTCCCACCACGGCGAACGGACCAGGGTTCTTCTTGGGATAACCTTGTACAGGTAGTTATTAGTTATTAGGGTACCTGTTCTGTCATTGGTACCCTGCTGACCGGATGCTGTTTCCCCCGGCCTCGATATCAAAGTCGATGCGGTCGATCGGGTACTTGTGAGCACGGGCCTCAAGTATGTCGACACCACTTCTTGCCGCCAACGCCACATCAAAAGAACCAAAGCTAGCGACCCCTGCAACTCTAGAACCCTCATCACCCATCATCTCGTGAGCACTGCCTCTTTCAAGTACCGAACTTCAACTCCAAGCCGGGCTAAGCCGGGAGAGGCCTTTGGGAAGTCTGTGCGCAGAGTTCGATAGAGTTCGTGCCGGGTGCCCCCGCGAAGTTCTGCATCACGGCAGTGAGAAATGCCTGTTCGTACGGCCAGCATCGTGGGAACCCAGATTTCAAGCAGCGACTGTGAGCATGTGGCCTGTGGGAAAAACAGACCAGGGAGCCAGAACGAAATAGGATGGCCTGGCATGCATCAGCTCGGAGCGAAGGACTGACCGATCCGAGGCCAAGGGCCTCCATCATACCACTTATTGAAGAAGTCAATTCGGTCATTCAAATCCTGCAGAATGCACTCTTCGGCTACGCTATGTAGTCCCGGCAAGCCTCACCGATTCTCTTCAAACAACATTTGACAAGATCGCAGAAAGATAGCTTTGTGAAATTTTGTGAAGCTTGAAGCAGTCCTTGTACCAAGACGTCAACGGCTTCAGGGACAGGAAACCAATACCAGCCCAGCCTCAAGGTATCCAGACATGCCGCAGAGGTGGCGAGCTTTACGAATCTTGATTTTGCTTGAGCTGATGCGGATGCTGCCGTGCCTTCTGGAACGGCATTCATGAAGAAGCCCTTCCCAATCGCTTCCAGCTCGTCAGTCATGACCTTCCGGTGGAGTGGCATTCACTTCGGCTCGCAGGTTTCCACTGCAGATTCGAGGCCCTGAAGAAAATGGGTCCAGCTCAGCTGGCGGCTACAAACCCTTTCACAGCTCGGCGGAAGAGAGGAAGCTGTGCTTTCCTGGCCCAAGCCAAGTGCGAGCGCAGGGGACCGTGGGCGGAGATAGTGCGCATGGCATAATCATCAAAAGCGGGCCGGGCTCACAGCAGGGCAAGTAGCTTGTTGTACTTCGCAGCCTCTTGCTTTACCACTGTGTTTCGCGACCTTCGAAGGAACCAAGGAGTTGAAGCTCAGGTGCAAGTTTCTGCCTGTCAAAACGCTCTGCATCATTAAGGGGCGAGCTCCTCGTACTTCGTCGGGAAGCGATCCTAGCCCGGGACAGCTTCTCCAGCTCTGGCACTTATGACAATCTCTCCCGGCTGTCCTTACAATTACATTGACGGCCCTGGATCATATGAATTTGTGTGCAAACCTTCGTCACCTGGGTGTGCAGCTGCCTTTGAGCTGTCTTGTCATCCTGAAACCACTTGTCATCCCGGTTGAGGCGGAGTCCAGAAGCGCGTTGTCATCAAGTGTTCTGTATAATTACTCGGGCTTGTCTTTGCTGTAGGCTCTTGTCGGTTTTGGGGTCCGGGGCTCGGGGCGAGGCTTGCCAAGCGATCCTGCCGCGGTGCTCCCAAGCGTCTCTTACGAACCAGGTGACTCTTGGTTTTCAGGCACGCTGTCGAATGCACAAGGTACTGCAAACACGGGTAAATTCTAGAAACTATGCTTAACGGAAAGCATTCGTCAAGGCAAAAACCTGGCAAAGCAAGAAGATATCCAAAATTCGTGTTCCCGCAACGCCATGTTGGCGAAGTGCGAAACCAGCAGATGCCTTCGTTTGATGGTGTTCCGGATAAAGAAAGGTGGTCTGCATTTTGTCACCGAGTCGTTGTTGTCTCTTGTTATTTGTACGGCCTCCTCTTGTTGCAGCCAGATTTTAGTTTTTGGGGGCCCGGGCTCTGAGGGCTGCTTCTGTCGTTACGAGATGTTACGAGCACGGAGTGGAGCTCTGGCAACAAAGGCTTTGAGCTTCAAGGTCGGCTTTCTCGTCTGGATTGCATCGCGCATCAGGCTCATAATCAGACTCACAGCACAACACGAGAAACCAATCAAAGGACAAGCGTCATTGTCCCAGAATAGGCATGCAGAACGACAACTCAACCGCTAACGACAACCAAAACACAAAACCCACGAAAACAACCTCTTAAATGCAAACCAAAATACAGGAAGCACGAAATAGACACATATCGCATGTCCAGCTACAGCACTCGTAAGGCTGCAGGCCGTCCTCCCAAAGGTCCAAATCCCATGGAGTCGGCGTTTGCTTCTCCAACTCAGCAGCCATCTCCTTAAGCAATATCGACCCCCTCGCGCGAGCATTTTAGCTTCGCATTGCCATGAATCGCTGCCTTGCCAACATCTGAGACTGGTGCGTCCATAACCTCATCCGCAGATTTGCCGCCACCGGAACCTCTGCTTGCACGTGTCATGCTGCATGACGTAAGACGTAAACCGCGACATCGTATATGGTATAAGAGATGTCGGACTGCCTGTCGTGAGAAAGGACTTCCGCCCCTGAGACCCGGGCTGCCAGAGCCTCCCGCAGCATTCAGAGCCATCACATCTGCCAGCATGGCCATTGACTCTGCCCTCAGAGATCAGAAGTAGCTCAAAACAATCGAGGGTTGCCCTCAAATCACTCTGTCGCTACGTCCCGGACTCTGCACAGGTAATCTCGCAGTTTTCATGCAATCCGAAGACCTGTCGGGGCAAGTACGACGTCAGAACAACGCAACTGCGACAGTCAAGGGGACTCAGGTCAGCCCGTCAGCTCTTTGTCCTGCCTCGGGCGGTGTCATGTATGGCAGGCCGCGCAAGTAGGCAAGGAACTCGTCCTCACATATCGATGCGGCTGCGCTACTCTGCCTCTAACTTCTACAACTATTCTTCCTTCCACTCAGCAGACGGACATGGAACATGCTTGTCTGATCCTGTAGTTGCTTTTCACGGCGTGACCTGATCCCGAGTGCCTGACTTAGATTCTACAAGCAGTTTTGGCTCTCGGCTGACGCTCTGCACGGATGCTCACCCGCCACAAGGCCGGTGTCCTGCGAAGAGGCGTTGGGGCAGTAGAACAAGCCGCCCTGCGAGAACTTGTACTTCTCGCCTCAGACAATCTCGGACATACTCCGCTACTCTCGGGTCCCATATGATGCCGCGATCTCGGGTCATGTCGGGCCTTTCACGACAACATCCTCGCAGATAAAGATTTTGATGAGGCAGTCAATCAACACCTGGGGCGGGCTCCGTCTGAAAGCTCCGGGGTCAGAGCTGCAGGCCGTGCGAAACCACGTTCCCCTACACACCGTCACTACACCATGTCACTGCGTCTGTGGACCGACGGCGTATGCTGCGTATGCTTGGCCTTGTCCTTCTTGTCCGTGACACGCCCTCCGTAGTTGATCCTGGATCCAAGGAACTGGAGCACCTGGCAGCGACAAACGTGACAGAGCCGTTGCGAGGTCTTGCAGTGTCGCGGACTGCATGGAGCCGAGCTTTGCACAGTGTACGGGATCTCGTTGAAGTTGTCAAGGAAGTACTTCAGCTGCCTTCGGTTGGTCGTCAGATCTTCGGGCGTGAAGTTGTACCTGCCAGGCAGACGGACAGAGGCGAAACTGTTATCCAGCAATCCAGACAAGGTTTCGATTCCGCGGCACGGGATATTCCATCCGATGGGCCCAAACTTGCGCCTGTCCTGCCAGAGTGCGGTTTGAGAGCAGGCACAGGTTCATGTTGCCCACCTCCCCCAAGGCTCCTGGCACACGGCGTGGAAGAAGCAGAAGCCGAACACAAGGCGAGCGTACGCTTCGGGTTTCTCGCAATCTGAAAGCATTCGGTCATCGCACTTCATCATCGATCCCAGGACGTTTGCTCGCAAGCCTTTGGGCGGCTCGTTCGTCATCTTGACACCATTTTGGAGCAGTAGGGCGGGAAACTGCTTCGTGGGCATGGAGGTCAGCCACAGCCGGTAGTTGTTATCTGTTTCTTCAGGGTTCATCTGCTCGCAGATGCGCTCCAGCTCGGGTAGCCAGGAGATTGACAAGTGACAGTTGCAAAGGAGAACCCATCCACCTGCTTCCCTCGCCTTGTCGATCATTCGGGCGGCCTTTGGACCTTGCCCTTGCCCCAGCGATATGCTTTCGAGCTTGGCGCTCATCCCACTTGCTTCGGCAAATGCCAGCATGTCAGCAACTGGATCGCTCCCTGCAGAGAGCACGAAAATCAACGGCGACATCTTCGTGGAATCCTGCACAAAACGGCACTTCCATGCTGTCGTTTCTGAAGCCGATGCCATGACACTGGCAACATGCCTCGTAGGAAATGGCGATGTCGAAAACCGGAGGTTCCACAAATTTCGAACCTCTGCCACTTCAATGAAAACATCTGTTGGCCTACGTGCGAATTACACTGGGACACCGGCCCATGTCGTGAGCCACGAAGTCAAGCACGGAGGTCTGCACTCTGTCAGGCCTGCTCCAGCTCAAACAATCTTCATGTTCGTTCGTTTCGCGTGCAATCAGCCGGAGGCCACTCAGTGCCTGAGGGTTCGGAGGAAGCAGAGCTTTTGGAAAGGACTCATCCGCCCGTTCCACTCACCTGGAATCGGCTCCTGGCTGCTAAAAGACCAAAGCCAGTTGCAACGACTAGCAACAACCAACAAAAAGACCAACACACGCTTTCAGCTGGCAAAGGCATCTCGAGCTTTGAAAGAGCCCAAATGAAACTAGCATTTCGTGGGTTAGTTCGAAGCTTGTAGAACTGTGCTTGATGGAGCTGCAACGGTTCTTTCTAGCTTCTCTTGTGAAGTTGACGAGGTGACAGCACACTTGGAGCACTCGGATTGCGATCTGTACAAGACACGCTCAGTCGGTCTCCTCGACCTCGGTTGTGTTGTCATCCGGATACTCATGCTGTGCATCACCAAAAACACTTGCTGAAAGTGTTTTGGAGGAAAGCTCATTGATGAAGTTTTCCTTGCTCATGGCCATTGACTCTTCGAAGAGCGACTTGAGGAAGGGCAGAGCCCTTGGTAGTAGATCTCTCTTGTCTTTTGGCGTGCGCCTAGCAATAGGGCAGGCTTGTGCCGAAACATGAGTGCGTGGATTCGGCCTTCGAATCGCTTGCTGTGGAACTCAGAGGCAAGCATGCCCACCATGACGACAGATACCAGGGAGAAACGTGGCTCTACCTCCAGCATCTCGAACTGGTACCGACAGAATCGTTGTCCGAACCAGGAGGATCTAGTTCTTCCGACCTTGTAGAAGGCGATGCCGTTGGCATCCACGGCTTTCAGCAGGTGCACAGAGTACCACATAGGCTTGTGGAACGCAGCCTCGGCCTCGCTGTCCAGTTTTGATAGGCTGAGGGAGTGCAGGCCGGTGGATGTCAAAGGCCTGTAGAAGACTTTCAGGTGATCCTCCAGTTTTTTCAGCTTGTCCTGGAAACGGCACCTCTTGTTGGCAACGCTAGCAGCATTGTGAACCCACATCGGAACGGCATAACTGGAATTGGGATTCCAAAGCAGCGACGGTCGTGCCACGGCCTGATACAGGGAAGAAAGAGACAAGGGTTCGGGGGAAGGGGAGAAACATGCAAAATGCTGCGATTGTATGCGATTGTCCATGTGCATGGAAAAGCGCCGCCTTTCCACCGGAAAGCCGCAAGAAGTCACTTCTCTGCGAGAAAAGCGCCGCTTTTCCGCCATGCGCGGCGCCACAAGAAGACGCTTTTCTCGAAGAAAAGCGCCGCTTTTCCGGTTCGGAGTCGGCGGCCCTCCAGCTGGATAAGCGCCGCTTTTCCGGCAGAAAGGTGGCGCTTTTCCACCAGGCCCACCCTACCCGGGCCCTACCCCGACCTCCCCCCACACCACCAGGCCCACCCCCACCACCGTGAGGCAGTAGAGAGTTCTCTGAAAACAATGATGGATGCAAGAGAGTTCTCTGAAAACATTGATGGATGCAACGACCCTGCCTGTGCAAGTTTCTCGTCGTAAGTGCCCGTCGGGCCAAACTTGGGCCAGTGGTGGCGCAGGAGATCGTCTTGTTCAGCTTCGGGCGCGGCACGGATTTTCGAGAGGATATGCTCGATGTCTGCCTCGACGACGACCGGCCGAGGCTTCCGGAAAGCTGGCACTCGGGCCACTCGGGCTTTCCTCCTTCTCCTGTACCACCGTACCACCTCGTCCTGTGCCGGTTTCTTCTCATGCACCTGCTGCTTTGGAGCCTGCTGCTTTGGATCACCGCTTTCTTTGTCGTCATCCTGTTCAGCGGCTTTCCACTTCGGTCGCCGTTTTTTCAGCTCCTCACTGGTGCCATGCAGCTGCTTCTCTTCCTGTGTTTTCTGCACCCGCAGATCCTCGATCTGTGTGCGCAGGTCCTCAATGGTGCCGAGTTGCTGCTTGATGATCTGAGCATTGTGCTGTATGGCCGTGTTCTGCTTGCTCTCTGAACGTGCCTTAGCATCGATTGCAAAGACCCAAGCAAGGATTCTGCCTTGCCTACGTCGCAGCCATTCCTAGCCGCTAGGTCCCAGCCACTTCTTGGAATGTCACGGCCATCATCTCGTGTACAGCCTGACTCTCTCCCGTGGAATCCCCAATCCTTCAGTCGAAGCAGACATGTCCACTTCTGGGATGTCGAGTGACAATGCGAAGCAGGACGAAGACATCACCGAACTCAAGCGGCTACGGCATTGAAGACCTCCAGTACCGCTTGCGCATGAGCAAACAGCACCCCTCCCGCCGTCAGCTGCTCACATTGTACTTGTTTTGCTGGGGTTCACAGTCGTGCTACCTGTATCATCGTCCGTAAGCTTTTGCCACACGGCTTCGGTTGCGTACACAGCAGCCAACAGATCCAGATCCGGAGACCAACAGACAGACGGTTCCGGACAGTGACAGCAGGGCTTCGCGTGTCCTGGTCCGCCTCCGGCGCATCATAGATTCGCTGAAACCCTTTGACCTGTTTCCGACAGCTACTACAGTAGAGCGACGGCCTCTCTCTTGCAGGCATCCGATTTAGACCCAGATCCTGGTACGAGCTGCGGTAACCTTCCGCTTCACCTGGGGCCGCTGCATTTGACGCGAAGAAGGCATCAAATCCCGAAAAGGCCGGCAGCTGCGCAAGGGACAAGACCTCCCAACATGGCAAGGTGGACACACAGCTTGAAGAAACAACATGCAAAGATGTACAGGAACTTTAGATTGCTCGATGCAACTGCTGTTTGGATTCGTCCAGCCCAATCCTCACACCCAAACGCAGGAATCCTTTGAAACCGACAAGCCGTCCACTGACGCCCCAACACCTCGTTCCAGGACTTGGAAGTCAGCCAGCTCTCAGCCGGGTTGGGAGGGCCACCCTGGTGCCAAGCTGTTCCCTCTCTGCGTCAGAATTGGCGAAGCCCTTGTGTCACCAGCTGCCAGCCTTGACCTCGCCAGTCGGACCGGCCATGAGAAATCGAGCCTCGCAGTGATAGTGCAGGCATGCACCCAGCCGTCTTGACGCCGGTATGACTAACAGGCCTCGTTGGCATCCAGGCGTCCCTCACCGTTCATGATCTTCATTGTCAGGCTGAAAGAGAAGAGAAGCCTGCTAAGCAGCATGCACCCAAGTGCTCAAGATGCTCTGCCGTTTCCGTCTGGCAGCTGAGGCTGGGCACTTGTGCTTCTCGAAAAGGCCACGGCAAACACTCTGGTAAATGGAGTAGGTGAAGTAGCTGATCAGGTCTTAGCCAGCACAAACATATCAACGGCTACTGCGCCAGACTATTGCCTTTCAACTCTAGACTTGGAAGTTCAGAGGCACATGCTTGCCAGTCGCTGCGTCCTTAGCTGCCGTCTTACAGTACATTTTCTTTTGCCGATGCACGTTTCTGTACATTCCCTGACGAGCAGCGGTGTCTCACCAGCAGGAGCATTGTCTATGCCAAGTCCAGCCAACTGTTGAAACCACTGCAAGCTGAATTGGTACCTGGCCCGTAACTGACATGTACTGCTCAGACGAAACGGATGGCTTGCAGGACAGAAGTTTCAGATCACTTGTGCAACAAATCCTGGAGACATTGAGACTAAGTCCCTGACGACAGGGCTGGGTGACATGTTGGTCATCTAAAACACAATAAAGCACATCAAGAATCACAAGTCGCCGTGACCCAGGATTCCTTTTGGCCCCTCCCCTACGACTCTTCCGCCGACATCACCCTTCTGCACCTCCAAAAAACACCCCCCCCCCTTCCTCCTCCCACCGGATTTTATCTCCCACACACAACTACTGTACTGAGCCCGGCTGCTGAGACGGACATGCCCCGGCGGCCCCCGGCGCACATTGGGTCAATGATGCTCATCTCGCTGACTGCGAAAAAGAGCAGCTGTGACCGGAATGCCTGCCATGTGACAGCTGGCACTATGCGCTGCTGCACACAGACATCAGCTGGGCGGGCATAGTCTTTGTAGGACCTGCGCGATGCAAAACTGTGAGAGACGAAAGGACCAAGGCTGCATGGCCGGGGAGCTCGCCTTCGCACTTCGTCGATCTCCACCTCCGTCACCTTGGCCTCCTCCATGGCCTCGTGTCAGTATCAGACGCACAGCAACGGCAGTGCGACTGTCATGATGCGCTCTTGGCCACCTTGTTGATGACCGCAGAGGTCTTTTTGGAGTATTCAAGCGTGTCGATCAGCTCCTGGGCCAAGCTGCGACCATCTCAAGCCACAGCCCTTCACCAGGTTGAATCGCAGCGCCTTGCTCTCCAAGATGTCGCCATCCGCAGAAAGCAGCCGCAAAATCTCATCCTCGATGTCCTGTGAACAGTGCAGATACTACACCACAGCACGCTGTCAAAAACAGTGAGACATCAAGAATGTTACTCTGCTGAGAAGCACCTTCAGCTGCTTGTTCATGGCAGCTCCATTCTTTACGAGCTCCTGCGAGAAGAGCAAATCAAGCAGCATTCGTCTGTTGGCTGCAGGATCTGCAGGCTTTGCAGTGTTGCTACATGAGGTATTGACAAGTCGGTTCCTTCAAGTAAAGCTGGACAGCATCGAGGCCCCGAGCCCTAGTGCTGTGGGTGTCCTGCTTCTTCTCTTCCATCTCGGGCTGCTCCTTTGCGACTACGATTCCCAACATCTGGTCCTGCAGGTGCCGGTGCTTCGCCATTCAGTGTCAAGGATGGAGAGTTTGGAGTAGCGATTGCCGGCAGTACGACACACCCCGCTCCAAAGCCTAGGACGCTTTCATGAATGTCGGCTTGCGGTTTCATGGTCGCACTGAAGAGGACCATGCATTTGTCCGAAAGACCATTACACTCCCATGAGCTGAACGTGTACTTCTCCACAAACTCATCGTTGCAAGTCCCAAATGCTTCACAACAGAAGTTCCATGACCGTTACCATCGCCTGCAAACCCTCGGGCGTGATGGCAAAGTTCAGCAGGGTGACCTGCACGGCTCCGACTCTCTTCTGTAATCCTGTCGACTCAGCCGCAAAAGCCTTCACCGACGTCTCCGGCGAATAGTGTGGATTCGCAAGCGTAGTGGTCATGAAGAAACGGAACCTGCATGCTTCAATGGGAGGCCCGGGGACTTCCACATCAGCCACAGCAGGAACAATACTGGCAGCAACAGCAACTAGCATCGGGAAGTTACAAGTTCCGCAATTTCATTCCTCTGTCCTCCTGCTTCTCCTCCGGTCTAAGCTGAGGTTCGCACTTGTCATCATAGGCAACCTGCCACAGTCGCAGCCAAATTTACATGGGCAAGCAGGAGTGCCACAATCTTCAGGACTTCGTGCTTCGGAAGTGCCAAGCGACGTTCTTGTCACCCAGTTTGATGACAAAGGAGGTGCCATCCCGAATCTTTTGTTGTTGCAGGACCTTGGGGGATGCTCTGCGTTGCTTCAGTTTAGCTTCGAAGGGTTTTCACCGCTCAGAGCTGCGCAGGCTCGAGAGCAGGATCCAATTGTTCACCGATGTTCTCCAACAGGATCCATTTTCCAAACTGGATTCCCAGCCTTCTGATGCAACGTCTCGAACAAGCAAGCACAACACAGACGGGTAGATACACGAAGCGAATGCCTAGAGAATATGCGCAGCAGTCTCTCTGAGGAGGCGGCTCCACCGTCTGCAATAGGTTCGGGTCCGAGAGCTTGCATGTTCCTCGGAAGCTGCAGGCACAAAGCAAGGTCATGTACAGGAACCCCACAGATCAGCCCCTTGGGCTTGTCGCCCCGGCTACTAGATGAACTCGGCAGTACCAACCCCTTATGCCAGAACTTGGCGTGCTCGGATCCGGGCCCATCCCCTGCTCGCTGACCATCTTTCCATAGAGCTTGATGTACTTGTTGGCCTATTCAGAATAAGGATAGTACCACTCAGAACAGGGGAGAGACGCCACGATGCTGGATGATACTCTCTATTGCTCCAACCGTAAGACAGTTTCACGCCTGTCTCTGCGGATCGATCATCAGTGGCCATCGCCTCCAAAGGCCCGAGACTTAGACTCAATCGAAAGTCAGCCCAATGCTATACTATGGAGGATCAGCCGTTCTGGTACGCGAGAGATGCAAACAAGAAGCGAACTCCCGTGCAACACCGCGCACTTTTGCAGCCGATCACGGGCAACTGAAAGAATTGAACAACATCGACAGGCGAGCCTCGCAGTCGCAATGATGATTCCGTTCTCAACCGACAAATTGTCATTCGGAAGGCTGCAAACAGCCCACTGCTGGATGACAACCTGATTTGCAGAGCAACTATGCGGGCAGTCATCTACACAGAGGAGCTCCTGACAACTTCATTCTCTCACTTGAGGCCAATGCCGGCTGACCAAGGACATTCACCAAACTCGCCCCCTTCTTGTGCGTGATGCCCACTTCGTCCTCACGGCTGCACAAGTCAGTCAGAAGTTAGCGGCAGCTAGCACGAGCCAACAAATGCAACGGAGCGAGCGTTCCGCATCTGCTCCTCGGTGTTCAACCACAGCTTCTCGAAGTGTTGCCGGAACTCTCCAGCGAAGGGGCCGGCATAGCCCACCATGCCTCTTGTGACTACCGCTGGCTAATTTTTGCAGCTGAGCTAAATGACCTGCAGCAATCAGGGAGTCCCCTGGCAAGAGCTCGTACTCGACTGTCAGCGAGTCGACCTTTGCCCCGACGCACAAAGGGCCGCCCAAGCTTTCCCGCGGATTCGGCGGGGCGGGGCGCCGACGGTCGCGGACCAGCGATCTTTCTCTCCACCTAGACCATCGATCAGCTTGTTTGCATTTGCCAACCTGGGCGCATCAGAGGTGGGCATTTCACAGCGGCGATGGGTGCGAATGGAAGTCCATCGGCAAATCAAACGACTCTCGCCGTTGAAACAAGGGGCTTGATGACGCACATCTCCATTTCATGTGCAAGCTGGTCCTTCAACCCACAGACAGAATGCAGCGGAACTTCCAGCAAAGTGTTGGGCAGGAATGTGTAAAAATGTTCCAAGAGGTCCAGGTGCCTGCTTTGCAACGGCGGCGTTGTAGTCGGCCTCAAGCTGCGCCAGCTTGTCTTCTACGGCCTGATGCGAAGGAAAGGCCAAAGCTGTCCAGAAGCGAACCAGCAACACGAGCGAGCCCTCGTGCACTCATTCACTCGTGCCTTCAACTCCGCTTGGGCATTGCGAAGCTTCGTCATGGTGATCTGGCACGGAAGCAGCTATTTTTGGTCACGTGTTTTGCATGGCACGAAGAAAAAGTCATGCCTCCAGGCTGGCTTCTGCATCCGCCAACATCCTGCCGATGTGCTGCTGGCGATGTATTCACACGTTACAGAGGGAGTCATTCCATTGCTTGGAATTCTGGTTCGGGTCGCCTCCGCTTGGGCTCCACGGCCTTTGCCACGAAGTGGTACTTGTGCATGGCCCTCGTCCTAAGAAGGCCGACTCCGAAGACACGATACGAGAGGCAACCCGCGGCCCGAGGCACCGGCCACATGCAGAGGGCTTCACAAGCCACCGAGGACTTCTTGATGGCAGCAGGATCGAAATCCTGGCCACTAACCCCGGCAAAGCGAGGAAAACTCCGCTCGGAGTCAAACCAAGCCGACACAAGGCCTCCCGATCCACGTATTCTCCGATCTTCTTAATTACAGGCTCGGCGATGTTGTCCTGTGAGCCGCATGCGCCATTTCTTCCCTGGCTTCCGCACCGGCATGTTTTGCGACCTTGTCGAACTCGAAGAGGTCATCCAGCAACTTCTTCGGGTCGCTCAGAGGCCCTTTCTGCGAAGCCTGAGATGGCCCCAGATGGCCCCCAGGCGCTCAAGTTCGGTGCCAGCAGGTGAAAGCCTCCCAGTAATCGTCAATCTTCTTTCCGGGCTGGTTCGGGTCGTTCTTCTTGATGGGCCTGAGCTGACACTTCGACAGTCCCGCAGTAACAGTCTAGCAGGTTCATAAACACGCTGCACTTGGAAACTAAGGGATGGGCTTGACCTGAAACATCACGCAGACAGCCTGCCAAGTGCCGTAAGTGTTGCTGAAGCACGGTCCGCGTTTTGTGATCTTACTGAGTAGCTGCAGCTACCAGCTATGTAGATGCCTAGTTACTAGGTTTCGAGACATCACGTCTGCTCGGTCTTATGCACGAGCACACGGAGGACTGTGCTTTACACATGAGCAAACAACGAGCTGCAACTGTCGCCTTATCTGCTGATCCAACGAGCTCTCATGCACACCGTCACAGAAGCTCAAACATCGGCTTACCCTGTCAGTCTACAGGGTATCATCGGGGCGTGAGTAATTGATTTACCTTTCTTCGCTCACCCTCACGGGTCTTTGCAAGCGGATCGCCTCCAAGGTCAGTCGGACGCCATCTGGAGGCTTGCCCAAAGCTTTGATTTCCTGACTGACTTGGACAAACGCTCTTGTGCCAATGCAAACGGCGCTCCATGGCACTCCTGCAAGCTCGAGAGCTTGAGGGCCTTCAAGGCTTTTTCAGCCACGTTGAGAGCAGGCCTCGGATACTTTCAGGAGTTTTGGTCGGCACGGCTTTGTGAAATGTCTCGAGCCCTGTGCAGAGCTTCATTCAAATCCTTCTCGGCATCCTCTTTGATGGCAGTGGCTTTTCCCGCCTTTACACCGCGGCGGCATTGGACTGCGCCACTGATCACCATCTCTGCTGCCCTCGAAGATTGTGTACAGCTGAGACCATCGCTTGCTCTTGAGCTTCCGTCTCGACCTTCTGGCATTCTTCCTTCGTGACCGCTGCCTGCAATGGTGTTGCGCGAAGATTGTGCACACCATGGCTCCGCAGGAGACCCGTGACGGCCTTGGCTTTGTCTTCAGTAATGACGACCATCATCTCAGCCACCTGGAAGGACACGATGCCACGATGCGCTAAGGGATCCTCTGCCACACATGCCCAAGCCTTCACCTTGGTCTCCTCCAGCACCGGCTGCTTAGCTTCGAGCCTGTGAGACACTTCCATTTAGAAAACAGTCCGTCAGCTCCTGAGCAAAGACAAGCAGTGTTGGGTCCCTGGGACCCCCGGCTCGGATTGCATGTTGGCTACAGCGTAGGCCGCAGCTCCAAGGGCATCCAAGCCCTTTTGCAACCGGTTCTTCAGAGTGCCGACGGCGTCCTGGCAGTCAGGTCTGTGGCTACGTGGCATCTTTTGGACAACAGCTCCCTATCTGCAAGGCGGTCCCGTCTCAGAGCCAGCACCTGGCAGTCAGTTTGTCATGCACGGGAATTGTGTCAGCACCTGAAACCACAGCCTTCTTGAAGGAAGAAATCAACTCCAGGTAGGATGTTGGAGTGATGTAGATGGCCCGCCTCTACAAGCAAGAATGCCCCCCGCCCCCATGCAGCATGCCACCCAGGTTGTGCGGCCTCACGGTTTCCATGGTCTTCTTGGCAGCTTGCTCCACCGACTGATGCACCACGGAAAAAGCCTTCAAGATACCTGCGCGGTCAGACGTAGTCCAGAAGCACAGGCACGCGTGGCTCTCGCCTTCCAAGTTCGGCAGCTGCAGGTCCTGACATGCAGCGACAGGCATGTTAGACAGTGCAGGCGAGAGCCAGAAATATCCAACCACGAAGTGGACCCGGGATCCAAAGCTGGCATTGCAAGCGGCTTGCAAAGCGCAAGAGCACAAGGTCCGTACTAGTATCAAGTTATTAGAGCGAGGAGAGCCCAGGACAGCCCCACACTAGGATGCAGTTGCCGCTCACCCCAGCGTCTGCACCTGGTAACGAGAAATAACCACGGAAACGCCAGGAAAAGACCACAAAGAGGAGACAGTGAGAGTAGGTCCGAAGGGCTGCAAGATACCAAAACAGAAAAGCAAAGGAGACATAAAAGCGCCCGGCAGTCAGCAGTGGAACAGCAGCGGCGGCGGGCTTGGGAAAAACAGTGGCCAACAAAAGCACCCACCCCCGCATGACCTCAAAAGGCAGCGACCAGCAAAAGAATCAAAACGCAGAACTTAGCAGAACTAAGGTTTACAACATAAGCCTGCCGCGCATTTGACGATGCGATTGGCAGCAACAAGCGGACATGAAAGAAGCCTCAGCAAACAGAAGCAGAAGACCACATGGAGTAAATTGGCTAATAAGACCGCGAAAAATTGCGTAAATTGTCAAGTCCGAGGCCACAGGCTTCAGGCGGCTTCTTGGGGGTTAACTCATGTAAACTCAGTACCAACACCTAATCCTCCTCCCTGCATCGCGAAAGTTTAGTGACACCTGTTTTTGACCCCCCCCGCCCTCTCCGCACTCCACCCCTCCTATCCTCTTTCGTAACTGGGCAGGACCGGGATCATTGCCGTGTTGCGTCACAGTGCTGCTTTCCGGCAGGCCGAGGTGGGCGGTGTAGACTTAAAAAATTTAAAGACAAAGCAAATCTAGTTCGAGACAGGTTGTCGGCCGCCGGACATATCAAGCCTGGCATCAAACAGAGCACGCACTCGGTGGATCTGGACTCTGCGTGCTGAACATAGAGGGTCTAGAATGCCGAAGCGACCGAGGAACTGCCGCGAGTTCGTGAAAGCATGTGTGCAAGTGTCAACATGGGACGGCACACGATCATCCTCGGCCCTTTCTTCCTTGCTTCCTTCCCGACAGCCATCCATTCGTCCGGGCTTCCCGTCCTGCCTGCATCCTCCCGGCCTTCCGTGATTCAACTTGTTTTGTGTGTGAAGACGGCTAACTTTGTTCCGATCCTCAGCTCGTCGTTGATCCTGGACTGTTCAAACCTCTGCTTAAAAGAAACCTATGCATGGTGGCACGGTGCGACGGGTACCGTCCTCCAGCGTCATCTGCTGCTTGCCAACACTGTACAACGCCTCTCGCAGTCGAAGCAAGCCAGCGAACACCAAACTCAGCCTGGCGCCGCCTGGCCTCTGCTGGCCACTCAGCAAACCAGTCCTTGGGATAGGGACTCATACATCTCATACATCAGCTCTTGTCTCCGGATCGGAATTCAGCCGAGGCGCAATGGTGCAGCAGTTCACCAAGGACGGGAACATGCGCAGTCCTGAGGTTCACATCTCCCGGTCACAGATCTGCGCAGCCTTTCAGCATGGCAGTGGCGTGGCTGAGCCGGTGGCGCGTGCGGAAAGCGTCGCCAACTGGAGAGAAGGCCAGCACGACGTGCACGTTTGCCTCGCCAGCTGAGCTTTTGGGGTCCCGGTGCTGCATTGGCAGCAGGATCAGCAGGCCTTCACTCGACCCAGATAAGTGCTGAAGACGTTGGCTTTTGTGGGCGGAATGCCAGCCTGCAAGCCATCCGGCGAGTACAAGGCGTTTAGTTCATTCGGAAGCCCTGAGCCCTCATGCCTGCTGGCATGCAGCCCGGCATGCTTGCATGATGGAGTCCATGTCCTGCCACATTACATTACTCAAAGAGTTACGTCATGTTGCGTCCGTGGCAAGCCGATGTGGACATGGGAAGGCTATGCAACTGAAATTTAAAGGAATTTAAATTTACAGGAATCAGAGGCCAACCGTTTGCACGCAGCAAAGGCCTCGTTCTTGTACAGATTGGGAACATCGCCACTGTTTAGAACATTGTTGATGGCCTCGACCATCTGTTCATTCACAATCTGCGTGTCTGCGAAAAGGAAAGTGGTCGGCTTCTGTTCATTGCCACATTTCATCAAGCAGGTCTTCAAGTCATCCTTGAACTCTGTCATGCCGTAGCCCTTGACAACATCGATCTGGAAGATGTCATACTCCGACATGAAACTGGCAAGCCGGGAGAGGGACTGTCGTCCAGATCCTCCGACACCAAGGAGCAGGGCATTGCCGTTAGGCTGCCGCAAGACCCGGCAGACTCGAGCCACGTGCTCGCAAGCATCTGCGAACATCACGAGCGGCATCGGGACAGAGAACATGTTGTTGTAGTCGTCCAGGAAGCCTTCCATCGTGGCCTTCATGGTTGTCATACTTTCCACCTCTCCGTAGAAGCGGTCACCACTCTGGCTCATGAAGTCTGCAAACACCAACCGCTCTTTATCGAAGACTTGGGCGGGGCTCACACCGAAGGAATTGCTGAGGTGGCCTTCAAGCTTTCCTTGGAGCCAGGCGCGATCTTCCACCGTCGTGAGTCGATCCCCGTACACTCGGACGTTCTCGTGGCAAAAGCAGCGGGTCACCACTAGGGGGTCCGAAACCTTCTTCGATTTCAGGGAGCAAATGCCTTGGAATACTTTCCAAATATCACGCAGATTGAAGGTGTAGTGACTTTTGGAGGGCGTCGGCAAAAGGTCGTTGCCGGCTGCTTCGAAGATGTCGATGGAGCAGTTCACTATGTTGTCCTGAAACAGGGCAGCGGCTTTCACAGCACAGCTTTCGAGAGCGATACTCAGTGCAGGTTCGCAAATATGTGCAGGAACAGCTTACAGTTCAGTTGGACCATGTCAGAGCCCTGGATTGGAGGCTGCGGCATTGAGGCCTTCAGGTCCACGATGGATTTTTCGAAACCCTGCTGCAGGAAGTAGTCCAAGATGGTGGAGAAGATGCCAAAGATGGAATCCTAAGCGGGGTTTTGAAGAACTCCCGAGACCTTCAAAACTCTAACCAACCGAGATTCCCGTGACATGTCGGCAGCAACCACCGCGTTGTAGTGCCTGCAAGAGAAATGCTTTTGACATGCTCTTGCTCCTGACGCACCTCTCTGCTGCCTCTTCAAGCGCCCAGAGATTTCGGTTCGGCCACCACCGGGGGGGCCCATGGCAGACACGTGGACGATATCCTTGGCACAGTCAAGGCACGACCGGACAAACATCCTGCAGTGGGTACAGTACCGAGGTTGGGGCAATGATCTCCTGCATTTTCAGCTCCTTGCTCACTTGCCAGGAACGAATTGTGCGAAGCACCGGTTTTCTGCCAGCCTTGCGGTTGTACCAGCCGTTGTAGTCCATCCACTGCCGAATGAGCTCTATGGGAGGCTGAGCTCCATAGTACTCCTGATTAGTGAAACTTTGCACGGCTCGGACTTACTGCAGAACACTTGAAGCCTTCTTTGGCATGTTCAAGTCATCGATGAAGATGACATTCTTCTTTCCCGCAGGTGGACCTATCGACAAAGCCAAATTCCGGGCACCAGGATAGGGGGAACAGCCACATGGAAAACATGCTCCCAAAAGCAGCTCACCGTAAACTCCACGACGTCTCTTCTCAAATTTGGAGTCCAGGAGGTCCTGGAATGCTTGTGCAAGGACATTGCCCGGTGCTTTTTGGGGTCACTGCGGAGCCTGCAGCTGGTTCACATGGGTCTGGGCCTCAGCGAAGCTCTAGTCACCCCCTGTGCCCAACAGAATCGTCGTGTCTCAAATGCTTGGACAACTTGGACAACTAGAAGCCCGCTGTGGACGGAATGGCTCTCGTGAGACAGAGATGCTGCTGGGCTCAGAGCAGAAAAGTTGATGAAGATCGGGGTGATGGACTCGGGCGCATCCTTCTGAAGCCAAAGCCTCGGCTTGAAAGCTGCTGCCGTCAGGGCCTAGTCCACAAGTCTCATCTCAGTCTTGGTCGACACGTAGACAGATTTGCCCGTCCCTGTCTGGCCCGCCACTATGACGTGCTTGTCCTGCTGGCGCAGCTGGGAAGAACGAAGTGCAGCAGGGAGTTCTCATTAGGTCCTTGAGCACGAGGGTCGAGAACGTGTGGGTGAGTCGGACGGAGTCGACGGTTGGCCTTCAAGCGGCTTGATCAAGTCGTCCGTCAGCACAGGACATCGCAGTTGGCACTGTAAAGCTACTGGCAAACGGCTATGCCGCGTTATTTCGGTAGACTGAGCTGAAGACACGACAATGTTCTGGTACTCCGAGCCTGGGTTTGGCATTGATCAGAATGCGTGCAGGCGTTTGCAATACCGGGGTTCGAGCGGGGTGGCACCGAGTACTTCGGCGCCTGAGAGGCCGGATCCCAGACTCTTCGCGTCTCTTTGCCGCTGTCTGGGGAAGGAGAGCGGCCGTCTCAGGCTGCAGCAAAAGTGAGCCACGGCGTCCACTGGCCCTCACGCTCGCCCTGGGCATGCTGGTAAATGGCCGTATAGTAGCAGTACTTGTGCTAGTAATCGCACCTCCATCTCATAAATGTAATCATACCTTGCAGGACACAGCAGAAATCTCAAGCCCAGCAAGTAGGTTGCAGAGCCAGTGCATGATTGCATGCCACTTGCCACTTGCGTGCCACTTGCATGCCAGGCTGCCAGAACTTTGAGCTGTCCAGGCTGCCCACCTGGTTGTGAGCCAATGCGCGCACACGACACCTCTGACGGACTCTGAGAAGTTAGGTGCAGGTGAGGCTGCCTGGATGCCCGTTTCTTGCACGAGCTCCCAGAGCCTGTCCTTGCGAGCCCCAAGCTAGGCTTTCTGTTCCGAGTTGGGACAGACCGAGATGATGTCCATTTTGCTCGTGAGGCACAGGCACCGATGAAATCTTGCATTGCAGCCAAGTGGCGTTGACGATTTGTCGCCCTTTGTTGTCGCACGTCGCACCTACACGAGGAGTTTGCCAAGCGTGGTGAAGAGTGCCGTGCGCAACACTTCGCTGACATATTCTCTCGGCGACCAGTCATGAACAGACGTGTCGTGCGCAGCTCAGCTCCATTAGGGCTCGTGCCAATAGACCAAATGAGCGTGAAGAAATAGAGCGGCACGAGGTGGGACCTTGATCGCTTAGATGCAGGATGGCCACCCCGAGACTACCACCTGTATACAAGAGTGCAAAAGAACGGATGGCAACAAGCACAACGTTGAGCTGCGTGCTGCAACTTGTTGATTTCTTCGGGGCTCGGTGTCTTGGCCTCAGTTGGAATGTACTGGTAGAAGTAGCAGTCCATCAGCCTCGAGAGGTCGCGGGCGATTGAAGATGAAGGGCAAAAGTCACCCCTCCGAGCCTGAAGTGCGACTGGCAAAGATTGTTGTCGACCGTCATGGATGGCTCCTGACTGTGGGCGCATTTACGGGGCCGGAACAAAACAACTCTACGGCATTGTGCCTTCGTCAGCTTCCGGACAGTTCTGATCATCGGCAGAGTGTAGGCCTTGCTCTTCAACTCTTAAAGGGCCGGGGAGTCATGGCAACTCTACCCGTCACTGAATCCCGGCCAGCATCAGCTCCTTTAGCTTGTCTGCCATCTCCTGAAACATGGCCGCAATTCCACAACTTGAAGCTTGAGATGGCTACTGCAACCCACTTCCGGGTCCTGCTTGAAGGTGCTTGGCAACCTCTCTACCCAGGACCTTGTGAGGTTGCACAGCAACTAAACGGATCCCATCAGATCGCAACACTGCCGAGCATCATTCAGAACGGACCACACTGTGGGAACCACACTGCGGGGTGGAGTGCGGGGCCCGGGCTGGATCAAGGGTTCGTTGCCCAGGGCGGAGGGTTCCATGTAGACCTGTGTGGATGTTGTACGCACGAGTGCAGCAAAGCACTACAAGTATAAGGTGTGGCTTCTGGAGCCCCGGCCATACCGCACCGGCTGACGGTGGCAGGAGAAGCAACAGACAGATCCTCCACCTCAAACACCATCCTGCACCGGGACTGCTGAGAGCTGAAGTGAAAAACCTTTATCTTGCTGCTCTGTGATGCTCTAACTACTACAAGCAATCATCCATAATTGCAAGCGAGTGCCTCATCTGAGGGGTCAGTGAAATGATCTCTCCGGATGTGAGGCACAGCTTCTTGTTGTCGTCCAAGACGGTGTTCATGGACCTGGCCACTTTCCATGTTTTGAGAGTGTGGCTCCGGAGGGGTGAGCCATGGACTCAATCCACAGAGCATCCACAGGCCCGTCGAAGATCACCTCAGCAACATCTGCTAGGACACTTCAGTGCACAATCTCAGAACCTATAGGCCCATGACCCAGTGATTATCTGGTGAACCTGACTTCCCGCTGGCCACAGCTGTGCGCACCTCAGCTCGTCATTGCGGCGACCATGGTCGAAAACGGCTGTCGGTCAGCTCGGCATTCGACGCACTCACTGGCCACTCCATCCGACCACTCTCGGGTGACCTCGTCGAAGGCTCCATAGAGCTGTGCCTGAAAGAGCACCCCGTCACTCAATTGCCCATCTTCCTCCCCCAACCGTCTTGCAACGTATGTGCGGGGCCCGAATGCCCTGCCTGGGTGATTGCTTTGGGGTTCAGGATGTGCGTCTGCACCTTCTGGTACTTCGAGTCGCCGGCCTCACAGCTTCTGCTGGTGATCTCAAGAACATCGATCTACTCTGCTACACCCACTTCTCCAGCACCTCGCACATGGCAATGGAGGTAGCTTGGAGCAGGCGGTAGTTGCACGTCTTGCCGCCTCGCTGGCAGCTGCGTGCATTCGAGCAGAAGCGGTCAGGTCTTCGCAGGCCTCCAGTCGGACCCACAAGCATGAGGCCGTGTCGAACGCCGATCGTATCGATGAGTTGCACCACCTGACCAATCAGAAAACCAGGGCTTCAGGATGCATACCTCTCTCGCAAAAGACTTGCCTTGACCGTGAAGTTGTCCGTGAGCTGAATATTCTGCTCCTGTGTTGCGAAACCAAGGGATCTCCATGATTCCGCAGCAGTGTTAATTTCGCTACCGGACCTTTCCACAAGCTTCCATCACAGGCGTTAGGTTGCCATACTCAACCACCGGTCGTTCCGTGGTCGGGAAGAGATCTGAAATAATGTTCCTTGCAACGCCATCGTGTCCCATGGTTAATGTCAGAATCTCAGAGACAATGAGGCTGAGCGAGCAGCTCGAACAACGGCAGGTCGTCCTTCCCACAAACCACGCACATGGCTCGGCTGCTCGGGCTCGCCCTTTGAACCCCGAGGCCTTCAAGAACTTGGGAACGTTGACGTCTCGCAGCGCTCGCAAGGTGATCTGATCTTCCGGGAGCTGGTCGCCCACCTGAGGTGCCAAGGAGGGGATCCCAGGGGCCAGGGCAGAAGGTCCGGAGGCCTCGCGCTTCAGCTTACCGCACATCTCGATCGTGCTCTTCACAGCTCGCATGCCGTAGTCGTAGTGAAACCTCGCGAGCAAAGTGGAAGACTTCATCAGCTCCGCACCGGGACACCGGAATACGCCGGGAGTCGGGCTGTGAAGACAACTGCTCGGAAGACCTGGGCCCGAAACGGCCCGAAACCGGCACCATAACGCTGCTCTACGTCTACACCATTATGCCACCTGAATCTTCTTTTCGCCACAGACTAGTCGAAAAAAGCTTAGCCCCCGGACAGGGTGAAGGTCGTCACCTTTGAAACCGATCGTGAAACGTGCTGGAACGTGCACAGCCAAGCTTTCGCTGTAAGGCCCCTGCCATCTTCTTTGCCAGGATCTTTGCCTCCGTAAATCCGTAGGCGTAGAACCTGCTATTCGCAGTGTTGCCGCTGCAAGTCACTGCCGAGCTACGAAGACGGAGCAGCTAGGAGCCCGGCATGATTTCACCGATGAGGGCATAATCTGGCACCATCATGGCCTCGGGATGCGCATCCGCACTGCAAGAAACCTCGCAAGCCCAAGCGCCGTGTCTGGGAAATCTGGCGACAGGCCGGAAAAGGGCTGCCAGATTGTCGGGAAGCTCTGCACGTCCAGCATAGCCTGCAACGCTTTGTTTAATTTCGAAACGACGACCTTCAGCTTCACAAGGCTCGTGACTCGATGCAAACGGCCTGGGTTCATGGTGATGAACACGTTGAACGTTGGCTTCATGACCTCGCAGCAAGCTTGGGTCTCGGTTAGGCCCGGCGTGGCTCGGTTGGGACTTCGGCAATGAGGGTCCCCTCAAACTCAAGCTCAACCGTGTCGTTGTAGCTGCCCAGCCTGTCAAGGCCGCTTCAGAGGCCCCCGGGTTGCAGGACCGCACATGATCACGCCAAGCTGCTCTGCTTTCTTGCCTTGGCTGACAGAACCGCAGAACTGCGGGGCGTTCAAAAGAGCCTCCACACAATATGTATCCCAGTCACCGAACAGGACCATCAGCTGCTGGGCGATGACGGACAACACCTGCGAGAAGAGATGGATTCTGTTCTCGACCCCTGTCTCCCGCCCCTTTGCACGCTCAACGCCGAAATCGATGATGAGGACCTCGATGTTGATGCGGTTGAACTCATCGAAGCAGCACCAGGCTCCAGAAAAAGCCAAACCTCAGGGAATCCGAAGAGCCGATTAAAGCGACGACCGGGCCCGGACCTGGCCTTTGAAGAACTTTCCCACCATGATGTAGTCCATCTCTGGAGAGCAATTGAAGACGACGCACTGCTTCGCCAGTGCCTGCTTCTCTCTGTACTTGTAATCTTCCTAGGGTCCTCGTCGTCCTAGTCCGGGTCACTGGAGGGCCTTGGCCAGATCCTTCGTGGTCTCCGTCTTTCCAGTTCCGGCCGGGCCCGCTGGAGCACCGCCCAAGCTCAAAGACTGAGCGCCCATCAGAGTGATGTAGCACCTGCAGTGCACAAATGTGCACAGCTCACAGCTCCTCGTAAGTAGGACGCTACTCAGCGGAATGCACGACCGAGATCCGTGCATATCCGTCAAAGGAGTGATGACCAGTCTCATGGAGTTGCCCAGGTACTCATATCCTCAGCTCATCATTCGCTCGGCCTTCCCGTCCTCCGAAGTTGCCACAAGGCACCGACCGTACGGAAACGATGTCTGGACACACTTGACCTCGGCTGGCGCATGGCGACCTCTCTACCGGGCCGCTTCGCAAGACAGACAGGAGCTGCGGATCCGACCCACATATTTTCCTGCTGTCTGTCATCGACTTCCCAGTAGTATCGAAGCTGGGAGATCCATTCGAAGGAGAACTGCACGCAGCTTGGGGCGTGGACAATGGTCTCAATTATTGGAAAGTAAGCACCACTGCACCTTGTCCTTGACACCCTGCTCGACAAACCCCCAGATGACATCCTGCATATCGGTGTTTTATGTCTCTTGCATTTTTGGCAACGAGACAGACATCACAGGTGTTAGGAAACAACAAAAGACTGGCCTTTGCATGGACATCAATGACAATCAAAGCATTCATTGTCTTTGTCTGGAGCTTCGTCACCTGCTCAGGAGTGCAGTGTCAGAAGCTATGCCGGCTCCTGACACAACAGACAACAACGCAACAAGATTGCAACATGGTCGTTTCTGTGTCGGTTTTTGACCGGTGCTTCAGTCGTCACTTCGATTTGGCTGCATTTCTGCAAGCCATAATTTTGACCCGGCAGATGCACAACTGCCAACGTGTCATGTGCAAATAACCCCGCCCCTTTCCGCAGAAGCATGATGAGATCCAGGATCTGCTGCGAGAGCTTCTTCGCGTAGTCAGGGAGCTCAGCACGGGTTCGGTGGCAACGTAACGATCGACCAAACGTTGGCCAGTAGCCCTGGATACTGGGATCCCAACCGTGCCACCGTCGAAGGCTTCTTCCACTTCTGAGGTCCAGAAGACCTGGTGTGGCAAACAGATTCTAAACCAAAGCCACCATACGCGTTTGTTGCGCCTGTGAGCCATTCAACACGATCTGTGCCGGATTGGAAAGGACCCAGTCGGTGCGATCCATGGTCGGATAGGAGCCTGAGAAGATCAAAAATGCGCCCTCCAACACAGAAGGGTTCGTGGGCTCCACGCCAATACCCACCTGGAGAGCATTGCCTGGGATATCACGGACTTACCGAGCGGGCACGTGAATGCGAAAGTTGGAGAGCTCTCGCTGGGGGGACGCAGCTTCGAGAATCGGCAATGAGGCATGCTATGGCCACAGAGCCTAGCCCCCACTGCCAGCAGCATGTCAGCAAGACTAATAGTACTCTATTCTTCCACGACACAGCATGACGAAGCATTGCAAAGAAGACGTGCCGCTGCTGTTTGAAATGGCCGTGTCACGCTGAAACATCCTGAAACTGCACAAAACGTCGTAACTGGCAGAGCTTCCCCGATAGTGCCACCGCAGCCCAGCTGCGGATAGCTCCGCACATGCCATCCTGCAAGTCCCCCATCCAAACTTCCACGGCCTGGCACCATCTTCCGACGAAAAACACTCCTTGTTGGCCCTCAGAGATCTTACAAGAACCGACCTTCTGGTGCGTGACCACGGGTGCGACCATGTCAACCGTCTCTCCCTCTGGTGACACCTTTACGTGAGAACAGCAACGAGTGAACCGAACCCAATGAAGCCGGCTACTGCAGAAACTGAACGTATCAGACTGGCACCATGAGGGAGATCTCATTGTCTGGAGTGAAGGTAACCTGGATTCTCAGTCGTCCAGTTTTTTTGAGCTTGGATCCACTGCACCCGGACCAAGCTCTTTGAATCTTCGCATGTCGCACCCTCCGAAACTGAAAGATCCAAGAGGCCCCAATTGGGACCCTTGAGGCTGAGTTTGCTGCCTTGGACATGGCCTCGAAAACTTTCGACAAAAAGGGCTGCACTCTCGTGGGATCCTCACGCACTTCCGCAGACCAGTCGGCCAGTGTGGCGAAACAAGCAATGCTGGCAAACTGGTCAATTCTCTCCCGTCCTTCGTTTGCGACAAGATCTCCAAGAGCTCGTCATTGGACAGGAAATAGAAACGTGCGAAGCCATTCCTCGCATGTGAGAAGCAAACTCCACCGGTGTTAAGAGAAAGATCGCAGTCACGTGCAGGGTGAGTCTTTCAACGGATTCGAACGAACTACCTTCAGACTGCTTGCTTCTGAGACGGCAAATCTAATCATGACTGAAGCTGAGCAGTTGCCTGTCGACGGAAATGAACGTCGAATTTCTCCAATTGGGACTGAGTTCGGAGCCGCTTCGTTTCCAAATAATCCTGGCCCGGCGCCGTTAGTGCTCCAGATGTGTATCTGTATTACTGGGAATGGAACAACGAGGCAAGACCGCTTCCGATCGCCATCACTCACGCTGATGAACAGATGAATCAAGCAGCTGGAAATCAGGTCCTCCAAGCCCTTCTGCACCATGTCCAGAGTAATCTGGCACAAAGGCACATGTCTCGACATCGGTGACGGATACACACAGATTCACTTGTCGTTTTTTCAAGTGCGTGCCGGTATGCTGGATCGACAGACATCCAAACTTTAAGGAAAGCGAGCTGCAAGGCCAAGAACGACGGTTCTGCACACTCGAGCGGTTCATGCATTCGTTACCATGCATTGCAGCGATCTCAATGTCTGTGTGTGTAATATGTGTGTATGTAAATTATATATACATATAGATACGTGTGTGTATATATATACATACATATCCACCTACCTACCTACCTACCTACCTACCTACCTACCTACCTATCTATCTGTCTATGCCTGTCTATACCTGTCTATACCTATCTATACCTGTCTATACCTGTCTATCTATCGATCTATCGATCTATCTATCGATCTATCTGTCTATCTATCTGTCTATCTATCTATCTATGTATCTATCTATCTGCCTGAATCTGCCTATCTATCTATACAGAGAGAGGAAGTGAAAAAGAAAGGGAGAGAGAAAGAAAGATAGAGAGAGAGAGGGAGGGAGGGAGCGAGAGCGAGAGCGAGAGCGAGAGCGAGAGTGTGAGCGTGAGCATGAGTGTCAGTGTCAGTGTGAGTGTCAGTGTGAGTGTGAGTGTGAGTGTGAGTGTGAGTGTGAGTGTGAGTGTGAGTGTGAGTGTGAGTGTGAGTGTGAGTGTGAGTTTCAGTATGAGTGTGTGTTTCAGTCCATGCGCTTGAGCTTCGGTTATTGTTTCAAAGCCCAGCAGATGCTGACTGCCGTGTCTGACCCCCTGTAACACGCGTCAGCAGCACGTTGCATTCACGCCACTTCTCCAGCAAACCTTCCGTGGCACAGATGTCAATGATCTTCGGGTTCTCCCGGGTGTTGATCATCTCCTGTCGCGGCCTAATTCTAGCGATATTATTAGTCTGGTATGTCATTTTCTCAATGATCTTCCCAAATGTTCTGCACCAGCTTCAGCTCAGTTCACTGTGCAACATCTTCAAACGGGTCCTGGCGCCAAGTCGCATCAACGTGCTTGAACCTCTTGCCTCTGCACTGTCGCAGCTGACGGGTTTGCCCAGAGTGCCAAGAAGAGACTGCAAGGCAAAGCCTGACGATACCCGACCTGCCAAGGGCCGAGCCCTCTGTCGGAAGCTGGCGCATGATGTCCTCAGTTTGGCACTGCATCCTACACCATCTGACCAAGCCTGGCTTCGGAAAATTAGGCACAATCTCAGCAACGCTGCATCTGAGTCGAAGATGGGTTGGAGATACATCCAGGCCTTTTGGCACTTCAACCTGGCTTCAGACAGGCTTTGAGACACGAAGCAGCAGGCCCCATCAAGCCGAAGCCCCTATCCGTGGCATCTGACTAAGACATGGCGGTGTTTCCACTCTTCAAGCGTCTCTGACACACGCATGAGACGTGTGTTCCACCTCAAGCATAATCAGCATGATGTGACGAAAAGCTAGGAGAGTTCAACGGCACCCTTGCACACTGTGATTGGGCCAGTCGCTCATCGATGTCCTCTTCGAAAGGGCCTTTGAAGGTGGAGAACATCATCGCCTGCATTTCTAGCAGATAAAAGCACCCGGCCCCTGCTTTCACCACCAACACTGCCCGCGACCTGTGTGGTCACGATGTGCTCGTCAAGAAGAACCATTGCCTGCTGCACTGCTGCGCAAGCCCACGTGACTCAATTTCTCCGAGCTTTGCGAGGTTCACTGTGCGGCCAACGCTCTGGCCTCTCCGTCCCCTTTCAGCACATATGTCCCTGTCTTCCTCGGCAGCATCGGTAAAGTTGGATGTCGCATGGTCGAGCTATCGCATGCAGGAGCTCGCTTGAAATCGTGTTGAGGTGTTGGCCTGTACTTCTCTGACAAGTCAAACTGCAAGGGCTCCCAGTCTGCCTCGGTCACCGCTCTTCGAAAAGGAGGACGGCGAGTCGGAGCTTCGGGCCTTCATTTTGTTCAGCGTCTTTTCCAAGCCATACTCCTTACCAGCACGATCTCCGACTTCAGCGACCTCCGAGTCAGAGCGGGGCGGTAGCAGTAGCAAACCACACTGCCCCTAGGGCCCTCGCCTCGTTGGCGAAGTTCAGGAGGCCCAGGTCGAGCATCCTCGCGCACTCGCCGGTCTACTGACGGCAAAAGACATTGTAGAGACTGAGCCTTTGCAAGGTAAAGCCGCCGTCCATGCCGGGTCCCACTTGGACGTTCGACCTGCTTCGACGTGGAGCAGTGCATTGAATCTGACACAGAAACGAAATAAAGCTTCCAGAGACAGGCCACTGCAACAACAAAACTGTGGCAAGCTCCCCACTCATGATTCTAGAAATTTACAGAAACGCAATGAAATGAAAGCTAGCATTTTCTAATTTTCTCATTACTCCTTGCTGGACCTGCTGGCCAAATGCAGCGCCCGAACTTCCACTGAGACATCAAGTGATCCAGCAGAACAGGTTGAGCCCATGGCTTGTCTGAGATCTGTTCCTGGCATCCAGAACCCGTCAACCAGCAAAAACCAAGCACGAACGGTCCAAAAGCCATGGTAAACACGCGCAGGGTACCCAGTGTCTCTGCCGCATACCCTCGTTGCGGAGACCGGTCACCAGCGGTAGATTCGGTTTGAACCTGAAGGAAATCAACATGAAACTTGTTGCCCCAATCAACGAAGAATAATACAGCTGCATACAAAGCTCCAGACTCTTCAAGCTCTGTTTTGATCTGCTCGGCAATGCCGCAGATGGACTGCAGGAAAAGAAATGCTGCATGACAGCAGAATTGCAATCTACATGGTCATGCGACTATGCAGGAAAAGGCACGCTGCCTTCGTTTCTTCGTTTTCCTTCAACGTGCGAATCGTCTTGAACAGCAACCGGATGCCGTTCGTCACCTGCATCCCATGTTCGACACCCGAGCCGGAACCCTTCAACGAAAACTTACCTACCATGAAAGCGACAATTGCCTCGTTCTCACAGTAGCGTGGATCGATCTCGTCAAACGGGCCCCGAAGCCATGCCTTGCGAGGGCGAAGGGGGTGAAAATCAGATTCCAGAAACGCGCAACGCAAGTATGAAGCAAACCTTAAAGCGTTCCGTTTTCTCCGGCCTCCTTGTTGTTGACCCAGTCGCCGGCCGTTTTCCACAAGTTGTTGTACGGCTCGAAGGTCTTGATCATGGTGTTCAAATTCGAGTAGTCCGTCTGGTCCTAAGTTTCTCATCGGCACGTGGCTCGACACAAGATGCGTGAGAAGCAGATCAATGAATACGGCGGGAAGTTTGGTGGGCTCGCGGCACCGATGGGCCCGAATCAATTCTGTAGGTGTTTAGTGTTGGGAGCTCAGTTACTTAGTGTTGAATTCGGGTGTAGGGCAGGCTGTAGAAGGGTCGTCGGCCTGCCAACCAAAGTTTGCTACACGCCTCTCTAGAAGCACATGTGTTGACGGAACCTCCTTTTTGCTCAACCGAACCATGGGTGAGCAAGGCTTTCTACAACAGAGTCTCGCATGCGGTGGTCGCAACAAACCAGAGGCGCAAGCACCTTGTCCAAGACAGGATATAAATGTTCCAGACCTTCGAGCGGCACCTCCTGCAGCGTTGCAAGCCAACGGACAAACGCAACTTTTACTTTGCGGCAATGCCCCAGGAGCCACAACAGCGGGTGCTCAAGCATCGCGATCTCCAACAAAGTCATCCCCAAGGACCACAAATCCAATGCCGCATCAGCAACAGGAGCGTTTTGCCCGGTGGCCCAGAACTGCGCCATCTCTGGCTTCACGTATTGCAAAGTGAAAGAAACTGTTTCGTTCTCAATTTCCATCACTGTACCCATGTCCTGCAGCCCATCAACATCGATCAACTTCAGGCCAGTCTTGAAAATCATGACATTTTCCGGCTTCAAATCCACGTGGACCAGGTGCCTGGGGTGCAGCCGTGCCTCTGCAGATATTGCAGAGTACGCCGTAAACTTAATTTCGTGGGGCATCAAGAATTAGCCATTTTGACCACAGAAGCTCAATCCGATCTCGCAGACTCAGCGCAGGCTGTATAACGCAAGCTCCGTGACCACAAACATCAAGCCACGATCGGGGCCTGAAAACCCCGTTTCATCCTTCAAGAAATCCAACAACAGGGGCCCCACAGCAGGATTATGAGCCCGGAGCATGGCCACATATGGCCACCGCCCTATTCAGCTTGACAAGCTGCAAGCTGCAAATCCAGGTTCTCCAGGTTGAGCTTACAGATTTTGATGGCAAGCATCCTCGTCAGTTGAAGCAGAAGGACGCCTCACCTCGCCAACACAATGCTGCCAGATATTGCCAGATGACCCCGACCTTGCCCTTGCCCCTGAGGATTCTGTCATAAACACGCTCTGCATCTAAAGCCTCGAAGCGGTGAGCACCCCATGCTCTCTGCACTTCCACCGCGGTGCGCACCATGATGCGATGCAACAAATTGTATGCACTCACGGCCTGGGAACCGTGAACCGCGGTAGCCAGGGTCTCGGGACCGGCGCTATGTTTAGAAAGTTAGCGCTACTCTTGGGGCGCCGCTGTGGCTGCGTCTGCACATCCTTGTAAAAGTGAGACACCACCAAAGCTGCTGAAAACGACCGGAAAAACCCCAGGGTGACAGCAATATCGAACATGGTTGGCGACCACTCGGACGGACTCAGTAAGCCCTCGTAGAGGGCACTACAGTACCTGCTAAGCTTATACATGTGGTTAACCTTGTGTTGAATCCTTTCCATGTCCGAGAACTATAAACAAAAGATTACCCTTAAGTCAAGCCGAAGACTTGATCAGATGTTGCAGCGGGCAGTCCATGTTGCAGCATGTTCGCTGACCCGAAGCTACTCAATCAATTGGTTCCATCGTTCGTTCAAGGTCTTGAGCTTGTCCGGGTCTTTCTCAAAGGAACCCGGAATCCCAAACCCACGACCACATCACCTTCGGGATTGGGCTGCTGGGTTAGAACACGGCACGTTAGAGTACTGCGACCCGTCTAGAAGAATTTTACAAGCTTGCTGACGGCAAGAAGGCCAACGGAGCATGTTGCAAGCAAGGGGGTGGGCATCACTGCGACTTTCGCATGCTTTTGTTGCTGCAGGTTCTTAGGCTCGAGGGACGGACGAAAACATGATCTGAAGTTCAGTGTACCCGATCTCTAATTTCTCGTATCACACTTCGTATCACAATGACACAGATGAACTGTCTGCCGTCATCGATGGTGCCACCTTGCAGCCTTCTGCATGTCCCGCAACCGCCAACGATCACTCTGAGCGTCCGGCCCTGTCAAAGAGAACCTGCCGGCAGCACACACTGGGCTAAAGGAGACGTGGATGCCTCGGATCCGCGAAGCCTCGCGAGAGTTGAACATGCGGACCAGATCCTGGCATTGCTTGATCTCCTCGGACGTGCTGCGGACCTGTCCACACAGGTCTTGGCCCGCTGAAAACCCGAGAAAGGCAGGGAGGAACCTTCTCCGCCACTTCCCGGACTTGAGCAAGGTCTTTGTACTGCGAAAAGCCCTCGATGACCTCGTCCCGAGGGCTCTTCACAAGGGCTCTGAGTTTAAGGACAAAGCCGGGAGGGTCTCCTCCTCCAGGCGGACCAATCGAGTCTCGAACTCCTGAGCAACAGGCAACTCGGCTCAGCTTTGTCCGTAGCAAAAACTGAAAGAAGAAGAGAGCGAGGGGCCTTCTGTTCAGTCTCCTGGCCCTGGAGGAACTCGTCATGTTTGGTGTTCAGGTACCTAAACCGCTCTTCCCTAGGCAGAGGTCCTAAGGATTGGCGATTGCAGTGAGGAACCCAAACGGCGCACTCCAGGCACTTCGCTGCCCTTGACTTCACGAGCCCAGAGGATCCAAACCTCGGAACGGCGAAGTGCCAGCATGCACAAGGCCACCCCGCATCTTCGGCCGGTTTGCCTGTTCGAAACTGAAACAGGCTGCTGCTTCGGCGACCCAAGCTGTCTGGCACTTGCCTCCACAGCAGATCTCGCCTCAGGCACCCGCATCTCCCACCGCGCTTCCAGCGTCTCGACCGGCAGCTCGTAGCGCAGCTCTTCGACCTCGATACTTTATGGACAAGTATGGTGGTCTTTTCTGAAAACATGCCGTTTAAACATGCCGTTGTCATTGTGATAGTGACCTTCTTCGGTATGTCCGGGGGCAGAGGCGCGACGAAGGAAAGCCAGAGCAAGCACCGAGGAGAGGACTAAGTCGGTCAAAGAGATGGCTTCGTTCACCGCCCCAGCAAGCTTGGCAAGCTCACTGGGAATGGACTTCAAGAAGTCCTGTGATTGACACACACAAACCAAGGCAGGGTTCTTCTGCACTCAAAACTCTTCGCCTTCATGTCGGAGCATTCCTCGATGGTGGACACCTCGCGACTACCAAGGACAGGTCGGGAATCCCTGAGATTCCCCCAGCCTGCGTTTGAAGCTTGGCAAAGATGCCTTCGAAGGCAGCTGTAGCCTTGGCCAAGACACGTGGGATCGCATCCTGCGTCTCCGCGGCTCGCCTACTGGGATTGTCCAGTGCACTCAAGGCTTCCACTTCGTGAATGTTGACTTCCAGCGTGTCCGCCAGGTACTTCAACAGCAGTTGAACTGACCTTGCGATCGAAGCGTGGAGGAGGAACGGTCACGATTTACAGTTTGTAATGTACGAATATGCTCAGCTCGGCTTCTGGCTGCTCGAGTTTGTCGATCAACTGGTTGCGGATGGAACCCGACTCTATCCCTGCAACGGACAGTTCTGCTTCTACGTTGCTACACTACTTCACATTCATCAGTAAACAGGAACCCTTCTCGGGCGCAGACGGTAGAAGCCAACATTCACAGACTCCTGTAAGCAAGCTGCCGCACAAGCACTTGACAGGAAACTGAAACATCTCGAAGTGGAAGGAACAGCAAGCGTGCGGCCTTGTCGTCTGGAATTGATTCTTGAATCTGGCGAATTCGCCTCGACCGCAGCCAGCCGCGATTGTCAAGGCATGGATGCGGCTGAATCTGGGTGTGTAGCTCTTTTCTCTCTTCGATCATGCTTTTCACTGTTGCAGGCGGTTGGGGTTCCGTCTGCAGTCGATTGGCCGCTGCCTGCAGACGCTGCACAGCGAAAATTTGCATGACGGCCTTTGCAGGCACCATCAGGCACCCCAAAAAACTCTTCCAAGGCCTCGGGGTCCATCTGCACCACATCCTGACCGTTATGCCGTTCAGCGGAGCTTTCGGGACTCTGTAGAGCTCCGAGTCCTTGAAGCTTTCCAGGGCTTCCAGGATGCCCTTAAGCCAGGGCTCCTGCTTGGCCACGGTCTCCTGCGGAAATCCCGCACACGTCCCGGGACTTGCACGCGATGCCACGCAAGCGCCACCACAAACGGCGGCCGTCGCACCTCCACCCGCATGCGGAGATCTTGCACCCAAGCATCGGTAGGTGTGAAGATCGGATCCTGGCAAACCAGCTCTCGACTCTCGCTTTTTGACCCTGGGTCTCGACGGTCTGCATGTGATATGTTACCTTCGAGAGGCTACCAGTACAGAGTGGAAGTGTCAGCTGGGTCCAGATGGTGATCTCGAATGAGGTGCGGCAACAGCACCTCTGCTGAGACCGCAGGGAAAAGGAAAGCTCAAGCTCGCTGAGGTTCGGGCACTTTCGATGCTGTGAACATCCCTGAAGGATGCCATGCCCTTGTCGAAGATGCTGAGAACGGCCTCACACGTGAAGAAGTGGCATAAGCAGACTTCCTATGCACCCAAAGTGCCTGCTTCAGCTCCGTCAGGTCGGTCCTCAGCATCTGAGGATCGGCTCGGGCTCCCGGCTGTGTGGGCCCCGCAATCCCTGAGGCCGGGGCTTGTAGGCGAAGTGCAAGGTGGGAGGCTCTTCTGGCTTCTTCTCGTCCTCCTGTCTGCAGAATGCAGGGCCCTTTTTGCAAGACCCGCGAGCGTGAGCGCAGGTCCGGTGAGTCCTTGCCCTTCTCCTTTCCTGCAAGACGCTACAGGTGATGCTGTACAATCAAGACTGCTTGGGGGTCCAAGGCCTTTCTTCTCGCTCTTCTTCTTTTCCTCTGCCGCAGCAGCCGCTTCGGCCTCGAGTCGAACAGTCCAGCTCAGTGCAGAGCCGGGTCGTGCGGCACTGCCCAGGCAAGGATCCGACCGCTGCAGCAGCTTTCGCTGCAATCTCGGGGTTGATCATGATCTCTACCTGCTCATGAAGACACCGGATGCACTGTTCTCACACTGGATGCACTGTTCTCGCCGGCAGAAAACAGTGCACATGTTCGGCACTCACGAGTTCTCGCTCAACAGCATCGCTGACCTTGAACAACGCCTTTTTCAAGGCAGGATCCACAGCCTGTTGTGCCATCATATGCTTCACGGTAAAGGCTGCTGAACTTACTCATACTCGGGGCCAAGCCGTCTCTTCCTTGTTGCCCTCTTTCACCTCGACAGTGGCCAACGAAACTGTCAACACTCAGAGGTACATCCCAGCTTGCCCTTTGCAGAGGATCCGACGATGTTCCGGAGGGATCGCAGAACCGTTCTGTCCCCGGCCATCTCCACCTTGTAGACGCCAGAACAAGCAGTGAAGTCTTGACGATGCCGCTTCAAAGGTTGAAAGTGGGCCCTTAAACCTGGGAGCCTTATCTACCTACTATATACCCTGTATGTACCCTCAAGGGTCTCTGGAATAGCCCTAATGGCCTAAGGGCCCATGTTAGGCGCCCATAGTTCCAGCCTTGGACCACTGGCTCCGCGCTCCTTCTAAGCCCGCGGCCCTGCAAGGCGTCAAGGCCTCCAGAACCTGGACCTGAGATGCTCGGCCCACTGGGTTAACCCACGGCTTGGCAACCAGCGCGGGCGAGGCATCTGAGCTGCAGGCAAACGACGCCAAGTTGTCCTGAGGCCACCCTACATCACTGCGTACTGTGATAGTTCCTCAAGCGAGGCCTGCCCTCTGTATCTAGGACCGTTTGTTGTAAGATACTGTGCCGTCAAAATCTCCTCGCCCAGCAGAAGAAAGGCGTTTGACCTGAGTGGCGGGTGACGAATGTTTGTTGAATAGTCTGGTAATGCTGAAGGTGCTTATGTGCACCTGGGTCCCCGACATCATCAGCCCACAGCAAACCAACATCGGCCGCAAACGGCTTGCCCTATAGTTCCTGTGCAGAACACAGAAGTATTACCACAGAGGACACACAAGCTATTCTGGCCGAAATGCTGGGACAAATCTGACAGAAATGAGACTGAAGTGAAGCTGAGATGTTGCATTAGCCGGGGCCTCTTTGAGAAAAAACCCGGGTCCACCCCATGTCAAATCATGCCAGCTCTGCTCCAGCGACGTCTCGTTCAGGTGATACCATTTAACAGCTGCCTGGAACTTCACAACTCGGCGGAATCAGGTGGTCATGTCGCGCTCTAGACGCTAGACTCCATATGAGGCCTGTTGCAGGCACTGCGTTATTCGCATGCCTGGGCCATCAACTGATCAGCCGAAAGGACGCGTGGTGTACATCTGAGGAGCTGGCGGATGGTGTTCACCCACATCCCCAGGCGGCCCTTTAGGCGCATGATGGATGCTTCCTGCACTGCAGCAGCTCCGAGAACAAACGTGAGCCTTCAACCCTTCCAATAGCTCTTCCGATTATCATTCCCGGCCTGCCGCTCTGAGAACTCCTGGAGACGAAGCGGTGAGGTGAAAGCCGTCTCGAAAACTTTCTCTGTGAGGAGGTCCAGGCACATGCCCCGTGTGACCTGGAGGGCTGCACAGACCTCGGGTCTAATGGCCAAAGAAGCCTTGCAGAACCACTCAAAGGCTTGCCGAAATCCACGGGGTACTTGTGGATCTGGAGCGCCCATGGTCTGGGTGTCCCATGAAGGTAATACCTTGACTGCCATGTATGGCACGGCTGCTGCCTCGGGAGGTGGCGGCAGCTTCAAATCCGCGGGCAGCACTGTCAGGTTTCCCTGGCTGCGAACCTTTTCAAACGTAATCAAGTTTTGAACGCGAATATACTCCCGTTGCGCCTCCTGCAGCAATGTTTCCAGCTTGCCACCAAGCTTGTCAGCAAATTCTGAATTGGCATCCCACAACATCCCTTTGGCTAGTCGTGAAATTCTCGACATGGACTCGCGTCCAATCTTGCGCGAACGATCTTCTGGCATACTATCAACAAAGAAATGATACTTGAGGAGGCTGTTCGCATACCTCCTCTGCTCCAAAGCTTTCTTCAAACGGTCTGCGAAAACCACAGGATCGTCTCCCTCAAAAAATACGTGAAGACTGAGGACCTTGTCCTCTTGCCCATTCACCCATCTGACATTGTAACGTCGGCTCGCGGCATCCCAGCTCAAAACGCTGCCGCTCTGCCATCGTCCACTTCCATCTTCCATCGTACGCAAGGCTGTACATGCTAATGGATCTGTGTGTCCAGATGGATCCTGCAAGACTTGTTGCCACTCCTCTGGAGTTCGCGTCCACATTGTGGAATCCTCGAAAGCCTCCAGAGGCAGTGGAATATCTCTCTCCGCATTTGGCCGACTATAGTCGATACCACGCTCGTCCAGCAGGGTCAACAGTGGCGGCAAATGTTCCTGATAACCTGGTGATCGCTTCGTTACGGACTTCAGGTGTGACAGGTCGACAGAATCGAAGGCCGCTGCTGGGTGAAAGTTGTCCAAGCTATCCAACCTGACACCAACTGTGCTTCGTTTCTGCGATGACACTGCACCACCTGGTCCGCTTCCAAGCCTGCAAGAATGCAGAACGCAGGCTCTGCAAACCCCTGAGGCTTGACACAAGGAGGATGCCTGGGCGGTGGAGGGACGGGAGATCTGGCCGCCTCCAGCTGCAGGTCAACATGTTCCTGGTTTCGATCGGCCTATGAAGCCCCAAACTGATAAGGGCCCGGCACCAGCTGAGCCCGTCTCCAAGTCCAGGCCAAAAACCCTGCAAATGTCTGAACGTGAAACAACGTTTGTTTTCAACTGACATGTGAAGTCCAAAGAAGCCTCCAGTCGATGTCTGGCTGCAGAGCGCCAGACGTAGACGCAGAGAGCTTTCCTCCGGAAAAAAACTTGCGTCAGGGCCCTGAGGAGCAACATCTGCAATGCACATCGCATGACATCGCATGGCCGCATGGCTCCTGGACTGCTTTTACCCTTCACTTTTGCCAGCTTCGTGCGCCCATCCGGGCCCGGCGAACTTGCCGGCATCCTGCTGCCACCAGTCATCAAAGGGGAGGAAGTTTGACTGGTTGCATCAAGCATGCGGGCCTTCAGCGGGCACAGCTCAGCTGTGAAAGTATAAGAACCCTATCAAATTTCATCTACATTGATATCAAAGCTGCAAAAACGCGGCATGCACATCCCATGCATGTTCATGCCCCGATAAAAAAACACGAACTAAACTCTAAACAGGCCAACTGACCGAAAAACGAGAAGACCACAAAAGGCAAGAAAAAACAACCCTGACAATCAATGCACATGGCAGATGCTAACTGAATGAACATCGAAACATGTATTGTATTTTCTGATTGACTGGCACAACAGAAAAGATCCAGACTTGTCGAACCGGACGTTGCTCAAATATTGATTGTTCCCGTTTGGATGTCTTGGCACACGCTCAAACCAGCATGAACTAGTGGGGCACGCCTCCATGCGTCCGAAAATGCGAACATGTTTATGTATGTGCGTTTGGCAACAAGCGCTTGCAGCCATCAAATCAACAGTTGCTGCAGTTGAACTTTCCACTTGCGATGAATCAGCCCCAAACCCAAAAATGGTGAAACCAACCTGCCCAAACTTGGGAAACAATCGAGACATTGGTCAAGAGTCAGCACACCGCTGCTGAAAGTTGTTTTTGAAATGTACTTTGCATCCAGCAATCTGTCAGTTGTGCTTGTTGCACAGCTGCATTGTCGAAACACATAATGGTGGCACTCGCACATAGTTGCATGCAAGGTTTCCTTCGTCTGGAAAAGTAGGCACTTTCAATGCAATTTTTTGTGCTGTTCGTGCTGTGAACAGTGAACAAAGAAGAGCAAAGAGCTGAAAAGCTGAAACAGAAACAACAGATTCGAATAGAGGAAGATGGAGACAAGAAGAGATTGGAACAGAAACCCGGAAGATGGAGTATTTTCTTTGCATAGGTGCGGCGCCTGCCACGGAGTTTTTGCGAAAGCTAACACAATTGCTGCCCACTGCCAGTCTTCCAGGTCTTTTGCATCAAGACAGTTGGCACCACGGTTGTTTGACCACTGCCCAACATTGTCAAAGCCACTTTGCAAAGCAGCACGGAGTTCAGATGACTTTAAGCCAGAGAATGTCAAATACCGCAAAAAACACCTTCTCCACAAGACTTGCTTCAAGAAGACTTTTCCAAAGGAAAAAATAAATTTAACAAGGCAAGACAGAACAAAAACCGTCTTTTTCAACACACACAACAAAGAGGCAACATCATTGAAACAGATTCTAGTGGCTTTTGGGTAGATTCCAAAATTTGCATGTGTGTTCAGACCCGTATCTGTGAAAAACAGAGCACACAGCTC